GGTTTGCTAACCACCAACCTGTGCCATCCCAGGTAAATCTGTTAGATTCCTTCTCGTAAGAAATGCAAATGACTTCCAGTTTCCAGGCAAATTATTCACTATGAGACTACGTGTTTTATTTTGTTGTCCTTGTTCCTACCACAGCTTCAACAGAGTCCCCTGCTGCTACTGTTGACTCGGAAACAATAACACTAAACAGTGGAACACTACAGGCATTTGAGATTCTTCCAGTGAGTAACACTTCACAAAACAGAAATCGGGCATTTTATGCGTAAGAAAAATCACTGGTTTTAGCACTGTTACCATATAAACAAATGAAATAAAAACATGATTGGCCTTCAGTGCAGCTATGTCCATGTTTTTGAGGCCAGATCGTTAAATGAGGACATAAATCAGACTTCCACTTTTTCTTCATCTGTAGAGGTTTAAACCAATAACGTGCTCTTTTTACATATGACCGTGACAGGGCTTAATGAGGAGGGTGCATGCTATGGATTTGTATTGAGTCATAAACAAATACCATCTATAACCAAAAAGTTTATTGTACTGGCCTTTGGGGATACAGAATTTAAAAGTCCCAGTCCTAAATGGTATAGCCACTTTACAAAAGAACCTTGTAGTTCTTCTGAAGGTGAAACAGTATAGTTAACATCTGAGCCATCAGTTCTGAATAATTCATTTATTCAGCAGTAAAGAACAAAGTACTAATACATGCTCCAAGGGTGAACCTTGAAAATGTTATGCTAAGTGAAACTAGCCACAAAATACCATAGAGTGTTTGACTCCCATTTATTTGAAGTGTCTAAAATAGGCAAATCTGTAGAGACAAAAAGATTACTGGTTGCCTATGCTAAGAGGTTTTGGGGAGCTAAGGACCAAGATGGCTAATTTGAATGGCGTTTCTTTTGGGTGAAGTAGGGTAACTTTTTAAGTCTCCATTCTTGTCCTGTTTTATAAAATGGGTAATACCCAGAATTAGCTCATTTTTCAGGAAGAAAATATAAAGTAGGTTTTATTTAAATTATGTCAAGCTTTATTTGCTGTGAAAAACATAGGGCTATTAGTGCAAAAGTTTATCATCTGCACAGTCAGATCCCATGAGGATAGTCGACATGGCTAAAGGTTCTCTTTTAGAACAACTTTGGAACCTCTACTAGCAATTTACTTAACCTAAGCTTCCACTTCCTAATCCTGTGGTCTCCAAAATAGGGATGTGTAATATAACCCTTTGTCACAGGTTGAAAACTTTCTTTTGGGCCACCTCCTCTCTTCCCCCTGGCCAAATAATATACATACATATACTTAGAGTATATGTGTTCAGGTTTTTACTTATTTGGGTCACAAATATTTAGAGACTTCTGTCCTAAATAATAAAGGATGATATTGCCTCAGCTTCAAAAAAAAATCATGAACATTACAGGAACTGAAATAAAATGCATATATTTAATACGTGAAGTATTTACTATCTGACCATATCTAATTTACTAATTGTAAATTGTAAATGATCAGCTTTTACTTCTATGGAGAGGGAGGAAAGAAATTGAGTCCTACTTGAATCCTACTGTGTGCCAGGCACCATTTTGTAATAATCTGTAATGCCCACAACCCCTTCCCTGAGGTAGTTATTATGCCTGCTTTAGCAATAAGGAAACTTACTTTCATTGAGCTAGTACCAGGAGAGCTATTATAACATCAGTACAAAAGACCACAGGCTCTAGGACTTCAACATCACCCTGTAAGTGCAAGTACTTTCCCTTTGGGAGAGTAGGATAAACCGGACTCAAATTATCAAGCATAGAAGTTGAATAGTTTTGTGACAGTTCTGTGAAACCTATCAAGATAAACTTATTATCAGTTAACCAGCTTTTCAAAGTTACTCTTTTTCATTCAGAACACTAATTACTATCTCTGTACATTTCTCCTTAGTATAAAAAATAGTTCCTAAAATTATACTATGGGAAAAATCTGTTCAAGTAAACTCTGTAGTACCTTTTCAAAAATGTGAAACTTTTAAAAAGTGGGGAGAGTGCCAATTCTTTACATGCTAGACAGACAGTGAAGGAAGACTGTGTGCGGGTTACTGCACTGGACACAGTGGCTTATGCTACCATGTCTTGGTGCCTTGAAATAAATGGCTAAGACCAGACCATAGAAATACATGGGAGTGAAGAGCAGGATCAAGGTTCTCTGTTTAACCTCCAAGTTTAAGGACGTAGGACAAGTCAGTATTACACTCTTCATTTTGTTACTTGAGGGCACCTTCAGGATTGGGAAGTACATTTGTGGCTCGTAAATTAAAGACCCCATTTTGGATATAAAGCTAGACTTAAGTAAGCTTATTTACTCAGTCTGTTGCACCTATGTTGATCTTAATTTTTTTGCTTCAGTCTTTCCATTTACAGCCCACTGGCACTCCAGGCACCTACCTACTTCAGACAAGCTCAAGCCAAGGCCTTCCCCTCACTCTGACGGCTAGTCCTACAGTAACCCTGACAGCTGCTGCACCTGCTTCTCCTGAACAGATCATTGTTCACGCTTTATCCGTATGTTACATCAGTTCCTTGATTTTTCTAGTTTCTGTAGAGAAGACTGGCTGATAAGTGTCACCAGAAACTTTTTGTTTTTAATACTATGAGGACCCATGTGCCTTCAATAATAACAATAGGTCTAGGGGAGAAATGGATTATGTAGTCTGTTTTAAGTATTTGAGTACCTGTTAGGGACCAGGATCAAATGCCACTAAGTTTAAGAGCCAGAACTAATAGAGTCCACTTATTTAAACAATTTTTCCTACTGCTGTTGTCTTAGGAGCATAGTTTTACAACACCATTACTCTGCCTTTACTGGGGTATAACCCTTACCCCCGTGTGTCTCCTTACATGAGATGGAATGATTGGGGGGAGGTCCTAGACCACTGCAGTTCCAGAGGTGAGAGGGCAGGGGAGGGACAGGCAGGTGCCACCTGTAAATGGTAGTTGTCACCTATAACTGAAGTCTGGTTTGGACTTTCTCATTTTGCCATTGATCATTTTCTTTGACATTTTATAGCCAGAACATTTGTTAAACACAAGTGACAACGTCACGGTGCAGTGTCACACACCACGAGTCATCATTCAGACTGTTGCCACGGAAGACATCACTTCTTCCATATCCCAAGCAGAACTGACAGTAGATAGTGATATTCACTCATCTGATTTTCCTGAGCCTCCAGATGCCCTAGAAGCAGACACTTTCCCAGATGAAATTCATCAGCCTAAGATAACTGTAGAGCCATCATTTAATGATGCTCATGTATCCAGATTCGGTGACCAAAATAGCACAGAACTGATGAATAGTGTTATGGTCAGAGCGGAAGGAATCTCTGACACCGACCTTAAACAAGAGGAGTCATCTCCTTTAGCCCGTGCGTATGTTACTGAGGTAAGTTGCAGTTAAGGGAACACCCTCTGGGTTCTTGCCTTGAGCCTTAAACCTTCATTTTGGAAAAAGCCTAGCAATAATTTATGGGGGGGAGGGGGTCCTACACCAACTTCCCTTTTTCTCTGGACACAAAATCAGATGCAAACGCTACCTATGACCTCACAAGTATGAGACGGCAGTGTGTTGCTCAGCCTTAGCACCAAAACTTTTCCCCCATACCCTTCCAATAGATTGAGACTTGTTTGTTGGGACCTATGGAACCATTTTCAGGTGCGTGGTTAGTAGTAGGTCTTTGTGGTACAGCTTAGCAACCTTACTTACCCAGTGTAACAGCGTTGTTTCTCCTACGTTCAGGGGACCTAGAACTGAATTCCTTAAGTTCCGTTTTGTCCATTTTTAGGCTTTATAATTTTCTTTTCTTTATAAAATGGGATAATGTTTGTGAAGTCCTTTTAAACCTAAACGTGTTTGGGATCTTAAGGAAAACTAAGAAATAGGAGTCAGAATGTTTTGTTTTTTTTTTTTAATTGCTACTGTTTAGGATCTAGAGTCTCCTACCATAGAAGAACAAGTTGATCAAACAGCCATTGATGATGAAACCATACTTATCGTTCCTTCACCTCATGGCTTTATCCAGGCATCTGATGTTATAGATACTGAATCTGTCTTGCCTTTGACAACACTAACAGGTACTGTGATATAACTCCGTCATGTGCCTGATAAATCTTAAGGGAAACATCAGGCTACTTGATCCAACAGTAGTCATCTTAAGATTTTGCACTTTGGTCGAGTAGTTACTATACCTTCTTGACATGGATTAGAGTACATACATGTAAACTTACTTAAGACTTAACTCATTACAGATCCCATACTTCAACATCATCGAGAAGAATCAAATATCATTGGATCATCTTTGGGCAGTCCTGTTTCAGAAGACTCAAAGGATGTTGAGGATTTGGTCAACTGTCATTAGGTAATTCTTAAGAGACAGGTAGCTCAGGCAGAGAAGCCACACTGTTAATTACAACATCTCCAAAGAAATAGGAGCAACTCCCAAGAGGCTTAATTCACCATTCCTTTGGCTTTTAAATAGCTACAGTGCTTAAGCCACATACATGTTGCTGCTATGACTATTTACCTCCTTTAAATATACCATCTGAGGTCAGTCTTAGGACAGTGTGTAGATAAACTGAGTATGGAGGTCTTAACTGCGTAGATCCCTGTGATTGGTGTTCATTGTCAGCAGGGAATTTCATTCACTTCAGCTACTGAGAGAAGTTTACAGTCACCAAAGCTTATCTACTTCGTTTTACAAAGCAGTCATATTCATCTCTAAAGATCGGACATGGCTCTATCCAGTCTCAAGTAGGCCGGTTCGTATTTCGGAGACATCCCATCAACATGGTGTAGCGCTTACCAGTGACGCTCAGAAACGTTAAGTACCCTTAGTTTGAAAGGTGCCCAGCATCCCGTACAGAGACCTAGGAGGGCATTGTGTGGCCGTTACTGTTGGTTTACCCATTGCTGGCAGTGGGAGCTGATTCAGGCTGGGTACACAAAGAAGCATTATAAGAATTAAGAACATTCACTACAGGTTTTTTATTACTTATAAAGGGAATATGGAAGAGGGTAGCAACACAGCTCACCAGAAGCTAGAGTTTTCACCCCTTCAGAACCCACTGTTGTCAGTTTACAAAGTTAGCACTTTGAAGTAAAATTAAATGGGAAAGGAAGTTAAGGTTGCCTACCCTATACTATGACTCTTACATGTTTTGCTATACAAATTACCCAGGAAATAGTTGAGGAAGGTATCAGAGTCTGCCCTTCACTTTAGTGCATCAGCTGGTGGGGTGTGACATAACTTCTCCCTCTCAGGCAATTTAAAAAAAATTTGCTTCTGTTATGAAAGAGATCAAGAGTCATTCATGTATTAGAGAAGGTGAAGCCAAAATTAGCCTCTAGGGCTTTAATGAACATGACCCCTACAGAAAAGTCACAAAAAAAAAAAAAACTTGTATAAATTATTTTATTTATTATTGTAATTAGGTCTTCACAATCAAAGTTGTCTTTTCACCGTCTGTGTTTTGTTAATGTGAAATTGTAGTTATAAGCAAAAGTTGGTTGCCTAGGGAACAATAATTGTATATTCAGTTTAACAGAAATAAAAGAATATTTGTCTTAAAATTCAAGATTGTTACATAGCTTTTCGCCATGCACTTACATTATAAAAAGTCTAATTTCAAAAGTGAAAATTGCTTGTGCCCTTTGAGCTTTAAGGGTTGGAATGTTTAGGTGCAACACCACCTCCTTAAAGAAAAAGCAAAGCAATCTAGGCTATGTCTCCCCTGCAAGAGGGAATTTTAGATTTACAATTAACATGAAAATCATGTATCAGACTTGTGCAGGAGATTCTTAAGCATAGCTTACCCGGCTCTGACTCACAGTCCTAATGTATAGCTTTGAAGAGACCTGGTAAGTATTTCTCCTTGGCAGCCTCACCTCCCCACGTCATGGAAGTACAGGTTCGCACATATACATAACATGATGATAGAAAATAAGATATAGTAAATTAGATTTCTAAATTTCGGTTCTAAGTCTCCTTGTCGATACCAGTAGATCTAAAAGAAGAAGAATTACATAAGAGTTTTAAGTAATAGCCACTAGGCCTGACATGAAAATTTTTAAATACAACTAATTCTTTTTCAATTGTGACCAATTTCATCCATATATACTTTCCCCCACTGAGACAGTCTTTATGTTAGTATACATTTCTGAAACCAATGTGGCCAGAATGTAATTTTTCTCTTTATAATTCTAGTAGTACCAAATTTCCACATCCAAGATCATACTTGTTCCTGCTTTCTCAGCTACCTTTTTTCTGTTCAAACCAGTAGTCATCCAATCACTGACAAGGCATCCAAGAATGTATACTTTGTAGGTCTTGTTTTAAATGTATTTGAGTAAAAAGGTACAGGTCTCTTTGGTCCTGGAAGGGATGACAACTTTTAAATTCCTTTAACTACAGAGTCAGGTTGCCAATACATTGTAAGTTTTTATACAAAACTAGATCATGTTAGTCACTCCTGGCTTTAGGCTGGGAGTAAGAAGGGCCATCTCTGGTAGTTTTGTTCCAAAGACTCCAGAATTAGACGGGCCAACTCTTTCTCAGAGCAAAGGAGTAGAGCAGAATAAAAATAATGAGATAAGCACATTACAATGGTGATGTAAGCCCTATGTGAGTCAAAACTACTGCTTTTAAAGGTTTATAGTTTTGGTTCTACCTCTCCTCAAGGGAAATAAAACAACAGCCAAGTAATTAATGACTAAACAATTGGTAAATAGCTAAGTGAGGATCTATCACCGTCTTTGTTTCTTTATGTAAAGGAAAAGCATCTTTATGCTAAATAGTTGTACATTCTTGTGACAAGGATATAGCTAGCTGTAGCTTAAGATTTCCCAGGAGGTTCTTGGTGTTAATTACTTTCATTTGGGGAGATAAGCACAGAGATTAAAATAGACTAATTCTGTAATTAGAAGTAAATCCAGAACGCTGTATCTCTTCCCTTTAGAGCAGTAATGGCATTTGCCAAATCCTGCTGGGCCTGTAGGCAGTCCTCGAAGGACGATGTATTAGGTAAATTAAACTAAAGCTTTGGCTACCCAAGTCTTAACTTTTTTCCCCTCCCCACTTTTTTTTTTTTAACTTTCAAAGGTTCCCTTTAGAATTAACAACTCCTGATTCCAGAAACAAAAAATCTGCCAATTAATACTAAGACTTCCGACATCCTTTGCATTGAGGTGGGGACGGGTAACTAGACATACCATTTCTTACAGACCCAAGGTTGGGAATCTGTCCTACGTATACACTGCAACCTTCAGCCCTCAAGGATACTCAATTTTAAATTCTAAATAGTACTCACAAGAATGCAGGCAGTAATACTACTCAAAGAGATGCAGACAGCAAAAAATATATTCAAAGGTTTTGGAGGTAGTTGAGGGAAAACAAAAGCACTGATCAGCGTTACCTGTATGAAAAGAAATTGTGTCAGGCCTTGGTTAGACTGGAGTTTAAGCAATGTCCTATTATGAAACACTTCACATTGTAAAATAGTATCTACCACCAGGTTTGCCTTCTGGAATGTTAATATTTAGTAGAGTGTTTGTAAATCTGTCCCAGTATGTTACTTCTTTTAGTACTTCCTTTTCGTATCCTTTTCCTCCACTATGAAAGGAGACAAAACATCATAGCTCATCAAACTAGTGAAGCTCAAAATAACCTCTTGACAAAAAGATTAGAAAGCATTTAAACCTCATTCCTAGGATTAAGGATTACACTGGGAAAAGTTTTAACCTTTGTTATGTTATCTTGCATACACCAACAAAAATTAAAACCAAAATGGTTTTTTGAACATTTTGGGACATACTGAGATAGGTTTCTGATACATTGGAGTTCTGTTTCTATCACAAATAAAGCATTATACTCATTCTTTTTATTAAGATGTCAATGAAACCACTAAAATTCTCTTTGATTTAATGAAATGTGATATAAAAATGCCCTTTTTAGACTATGGGAACTATCGCTGTATTTTACAGCAGGAGTACCAAGCTACATTATACAGGGTAAAGAATAAGGACCAAATAATCTTTTTTAAAGGATAACGCGTGTGCTTTTAGGAACAAAATAAACTTAAGGGATTAGCAGGAATGGGGAGTTGTGGGTCATATACAGAGGGGAATTGCTGGTGCCACTGACAAGTTACAAATTTACTAAACAGAAACATGGCAGACTCAGAAATAACTACTTACTTGACATGGGCTATTTCATATACTCAACTGGGGGGTATTCCTGTTGTCAACTGCAGTTCAAGTGGTATAAAACTGAATACTAGACTGTGACTAAAATACTCCACAGATTCATGTACTGGCCTCTTGTATTTTTTCTGTGTTAAACTGAACCACAATACCGAGGCTTTCAAAAAAACTTTGGCGAAGAGCGTGGGTGAGACACAAAATAAACATACTTACTAGAATCAATAAGGATGTTAAGCTGCCAACAACTAAATTGATGATTCGATCCTGAAAGAGAAAAGAGTTTTTGAGCTCTATGATAGGTCCACGTCACTTTCTTTTTTTTTTTTTTTTAAGATTTTATTTATTTATTTGACAGAGAGATAGAGAGCACAAGTAGGCGGAGTGGCAGGCAGAGGGAGAGGGAGAAGCAGGCTCTCTGCTGAGCAGGGAGCCGGACATGGGGCTCGATCCCAGGACCCCGGGATCATGACCTGAGCCGAAGGCAGCCGCTTAACCGACTGAGCCACCCAGGCGCCCCTCCACGTCACTTTCAGAAAGGTACAATTCTAGCCACTGGGGTGATGGCGAATTAAGAAATGAAGGTCCTGCCCCTCTCTGAGCTTTACACACACACACACACACACACACACACACACACACACGTACCAGAAAGGCCAAGTGTACTGAGCCACCCTCTCTGAGCTTTACACACACACACACACACAC